GGTCTAGAGGTCTCGGTCCGTTGTTTATTGAAGTATCCTGTGGATACGAATAGGATTAGTTGATCAATATTTATTACTCCCGTTTGGAAACGTGTTCCCAGTTCTGTTGAGACATGATTGGTGCATTTCTCATTTATGGAGTCATGGAATATGGATTCATTTTCGCACCGAATCGACACTTCTCCGGACCCGCCTGCGGACTCAAACGTAAAACCTAACTACACGCTAAACTTGAAAGCTCGTAAGTCCTCGTAAGCTCTTAATTTGCTTGAATTTTGTAATATATGTAGGTATTATCAATACGCTGTGGTAAAAATTATTACAGAGTTTTACATCAATCATTTTTCAATTAAAACGGAATACCTGCATTTTTTAAGCAACCTAACCGCTCATAAGTCCTTCAATACTACAACGAATGTTCTTGAATTTTGGAATATGAGTAGTTATTATCAATATGCTGCGGTAAAAATTATTACAGATTTTTCAATTTCTTCGTTTTTAATTAAAACGAATAAACGCATTTGTAAGCAACCAACACAGTCATAACTCCTTCAATACTTAACGGATCTGCTTGCAATTTGGAATATAAGCATTTGCTGTAAATGCGCTAGTTGAGAAATTGTCAAAATTAAATAAATTTCCAATATTTCCAATTAAGCGTCGAACGCATTGGAATCTATTGCTGAGATAGGACTCGAACCACATCAGTACTGTACGTGCCACGCAGGCCGAATGATACGTCAAGTCAACGCCATAAAGTGGCGTGGTCGTCCCGACTCGAACGTGCCAAACGCGGCCGACAGGTCGAGTAAAGCTAGTGCCGCAATGTCGCCGCGGTCTACTCACTACTGACATAAATTTATACTCTATTTACTTATGCTACTCTATTTACTTATTCTACTCTATTTACTTAAATTTGCTCGCGTTTATTTCACTGAGGAATATTACGTGCTTCTGAGTCTATTTATGACCTCTACTGCTCGTAGAATGTCTGAAAGCACCTTCAGCACAGCGGTTTCCGTCCAGTGGAGATGACGGTATGCAGACTGGAGACGAAGCATGAGACCGCACTGCCGAAGACGATTAATCAGCTTTCGCGCCACATCGCGTTCCAGGAGTTTCGACAAAATCGACAGGTTGTAGATGGGTCAATATGATTTGGGATCGGAAGCGTTAAGGTCTGTTTTTTTAATAGAGGCGTAATGCAAGCTGATTTGAAGTTCATCGAAACAACACCGTCAGTGAGGCAGCGGTTGAAAAGTTCGACCAGAAAAGGTGCTAGGGTTACAACATTTCCCCTATGTAACGACGTCGGCAGCGGATCGCCAGCACACCGCGTGTTGGGCAGCGCGCGCACTGCACCGATGACGTCGTCAGTTGTGACGCGAGTGAATACTTGGAGCACGCAGTCGAACGGGCACGGGGCAAATGCTGCCGGCGGAGCATCGGCCCACGTTGCTCTCACAGCGGAAATTTTGTCTTCAAAAACCGCATTGAATTCTCTACGCTTACGTCACCAGAAGCTCTGTATGACCTCTTTCCATGAGTTTATCCAGCGAACGCCATAGCGCTCGAGAATCGCTGCGTTGCGCTTCAACTCTCTGGCGCCAAAATGATTAAATTAATTTAAGCGCACTAGCGTATCTGACTCATACACTAGTAGCGTATTATAGACATCGACGTCGAGACCGCGCAACGGACGAAAGGTAACGGTCTTGTACGCTGGCACCGTCCACTAAGGTAGCCGATGGTTGGATATTGCGATCTCGATGATGTCGACTGGCAGACTTTGAAGTCCAGCAGTCCGCTACTACGACTACTACGTCCAGCAGTCCGCCCATGTCGCCCAGACTACGTCCAGCAGTCCGCCCATGTCGTGCGTCGGCTAGGTCACGTGACAAACCATGCCGAAGGTGGCCAGATATATGTAATTATTATATTTTAATTAGATCAAGTATACCCTGGGAGCTGTGACGGCTGTCAGTCTCTCTCATATCTATCTATACGAGTAGAAGTCGAAATCAATGCAACGAAAGTAGGCCAAAGCAGCGTTAAAATATTAAATGCTCTTCGTTGGATTGATTGCGACTTTTTACTAGTTGGATATGAGAGAGACTGACAGCAGTCACAGCTCCCAGGGTTTACTTAATCTAATTTATATATAATAATTATCTCGGTCACGGCCTCCGGGCAATTCTGAAGAATCGGTCATACAAGGCCTTTTAACAACATAAACAACTTTTGAGAAACTATCTCTACTTGGGACTAGGCAAACACACATCAATAAGTATATAACCTACCCGACGTGCGAACACCTTGCGCTTCTTCGAAATCATTGCGTCCATGTTCAAGTTTTCTCACCATATTGAAGTATTGGAATTTTATTTAATTTTTGCAATTCTGGTACTAGCGCATTTACAGCAATACTTAAGATTCCAAATTGCAAACAGATCCGTTAAGTATTGAAGGAGTTAGGACTGGGTTGGTTGCCTACAAATGCGTTTATTCGTTTTAATTGAAAACGAAGCAATGAAAAATCTGTAATAATTTTTGCCGCAGCGCATTGATAATACTTACTTATATTCCAAAATTCAAGCAAATTCGTTCAGTATTGAAGGAGTTATGACTGGTTAAGTTGAGCGAGTTCGCAGGCGGGTCCGGAGAAGTGTCGATTTGGTCCATTTCGCTTACACGAAATTGCATATGTGCAATTCGCACATATGCAGTGTGCGAATTGCATATCACCTAAACAATTAAGTGAAGTAGAATTCTCTAATTTTGGTAACTGCTATCTAGAATAAAGTACGTTTTTTTTAAATTACAGTGCTATGTTACTTCCCACTGGACCATTTGGGTTTACATGGTTCGTCCTCGAATCTATGATGACAATAGAACGTACGTAATTTTTTTTAGAAACAATAGAATTTACGTAAATTCTTAGAAAATGTGTGTGGTGCAATTTGCGTTGTGCTTTATTCCTTAAATAACGCATAATTAGCTTTCTCAAATATTGTTAAATTAGTATATAGATATTATTTTACCGATAGTCAATAAAAATCTGGCACTAGCCTTGTAAATTGTTTACATTTTCTTGTTTAAATTTCAGTAATCTCCGCTACGTAGGTATTCGAGTAACCTCCATGACGAAGTGAAAATATCTAGGCACAACCGGCTAGGGTTAACTCTGATGAAAAAATATGTTCTGTCAGGTCATATTTAAATGGGCCGAAAACCAAACACAATACAAATTGTTGATGTCATCCAAAAATTATGTTACAAATTGAATCTCACTTATAAGAAATTATGTTCCGTTTTCATTGAACGGGACCTTGTAGAATAAGTATAGTTTTAAGTTGATTTCTAGATAGCTAGTGAACCATTAAAGGATGGATTATGGAGGCGTGAGCGATAGGTGATACCTAACAGTGTTCTGGATGTTGGTTTCTATACCAACTTTGGAGTGCAATTATCGTCCTATCTCTTACTAATTAACTCGACTTAATGCATGACATGGGCCCTTTTGGCATTTAATGCATGCAACTTCACACCTTTGGCTTGGCCCAACAATTAAAAGTCGTCTTTGACGCATTACTTTGGCAGTATTGCCGGCTTTCGAGCCTCAACTTGAAGTAGCCCTACTAATTGCATTTGTGCACGTTAACCTCCTTCTGCTAACTCACCAAGTTGGGCCGGCCATTAACTAATATTTTATTAATTGCACCAATACAGTGTGTCCCAAAAAACGATATTCAACTTTGAATGGCTTTAACTCGAAAAGTAATAGAGTTACAAAAATTTGGAAGGTCAGGATTTGTTTCCTATGTTATTCTCCATCTCCCCACCAAAAATCAGACAGATCGAGGTAACCATAAGCGTTTGATAGAACTTTCAGTGACATGTGCTAAAATCGTGCTTGCGCAGTTTTAGAAAGATCATTTTGCATAATCATTACGTTGTCTTGACATGTTTTCTTTTTGCTGTTTTATTTTTTGTATCTTTGGTGAGACAAAAACATGGAAATCTTTGGTGAGCCACAATCATGGCAATCTTTGGTGAGAGACAATCATGACAATCTTTGGTGAGATCAAATAACACGATATTAGATCTTCTGTGAACAAGGCACGAAAAGGAAAAGAATCGGCGACAGGCCACATCAGGCCTACACTTCAGTGCCGACATCACTATGTTATGTTATGTTATGATTGCCTCTCAACAAAGATTGCCATGTTTTTGTCTCACACAAGATACAAAAAAAAAAAAGCGGAAAGGAAACGTGTCAAGAAACGTAATGATTATGCAAAATGATCTTACTAAAACTTTGCGCAAGCACGATTTTAGCACATGTCACTGAAAGTTCTATCAAACGCTTATGGCTACATCGATCTGTCTAATTTCTCTGTCGATCTGTCTGGGACACCCTGTATACCTCAAATGCCTCTACACGGTTTCATTCCAGCCACTTCAAAGTTCGCCAACGGCTATAATTTTGAAGTTGGTATTCGCAAGAATTTGATTTGATTTGTATGATCATTGAGCTTAAATGACCCATTCATACATATTAACAGAGTTTTTGAAAGCATTTAAAACTCGATTTACCCTCAATTCCGTTATATTACAGTATAGCTCCCTGTATTCACCTCTCGTCTCGTGTCGTCGTGCGTCCTGCCTCGAATGCTACCAGTGCTTACTGCCTATTCTGCCGTGTTCTTTGTTTAATTTAAGGTTAGAAATGGAAACTGCGTTACTGTCATATCTTGTGCCGTTGAATTGGAATTACTGAATATAATAGTATGAAGTCATTTCTAGTATTCTTACATTCTTTTAATTTAGTTAATTTGTCTCTGATTTCAGTTTCGTGAGCATCAGCCTCTACAGTTCTTGACGGACTACACTGATGTCCAAGTTTTGTCGTTTCGAGTTCAATTAAAATTATTAGCTGTTCTATTCGTATAAATTCCTTACACACTGAGCTGAAGAACTGGATGAAATAAGCACACATGTTCTTACATTATGAACATTTATTTTGATACAATAAACATGATACAGTTCGTCGTTACGATTAAGATTGGGCGAAGAGATAAATGAGCCACTAACGATAATGCTTTGACAAAACACAAGTCAATTCAATGAGAGGGAGACAAAACGCAGGTCGTTTGTACAGACACATTCAACACCACAGAGATCTTCATTGCCTTAATATTATTACAAAATCTAATGGTTATTAGAAAACCGATGTTTTAAAAAATCGAATCTAGATTAATTAAAAATGAATACGACTGACCGGTTACGAAAGTCTTGTTTCAATTGCCAATGATAGTAGATTGTGAACTTAAAATTTGAAGAGTTTCGATAAATTAGTAATAGAAGGAAAAGGGAATCAATTTGAGCAGATTTATTTGAGACCAACAGGGGAAGCCCTGCTGTTGCAAGCCAAGTTCAGTGTCCAACGTAGACTTTTCTCCGTTATCATGGCAGTGACGTTGCAGGATGCTTTTGCTAAAGGATACACGATAAGAAAAGTATGACAGCTGCAATGCATCGACTAAATATATATCTTAGATTATCTTACAATGCTCCACAAGCACGAGCTATGTCTACAAAATGCCACCAGTGAAGAGTAGTAAGAAACGCGACTGCTTGCCAAGTCTGTACATTATTGTCGTGTTTCAGGATTCAATGGTCCAAGGAGTCATTGTTTTCAGGAATCAATGATGTTTTCTACAACTAGTCGTAGAAAACAATCCTTCCAAAAATAAGTTGAATTCCTTCATCCCAAAAAATTTGTGTCCTCTTCAGTCAACAAAATCAGTTCCGCTGTTGATTCTAACTACATGCATACAGCCATGTAATTATCACCGAAAAAGTAATCTTTCATGTACAGGACTGAGAATTTCTTTCCTTTCCATAAAACCAGACAGAAACGCACTTTTTTCAAGTAAGACCTCAAACTAAAATACGCAAAGAGGTCAGGCCTAACGAAACTGCAAACTGGGACTTCAAATTTGGTTTGCTTCTTAGCATCTTTGAACTAAAAACTAATCATGGCCAGCAGAAAACGAGAATTTCATCTCCCTAGCAAAATGAATTTTATAACGGTACGTACCAAAATACTCTTATTCCAAAAAAGGATGTTTCTAAAACTTCAAAATGTGTGGTATGCCTCTACACGAAAATCGTACTCGAAATGAATGAAATTTTCGAAATCACGAAAAATGAAATTTTCCATTTCAAGCCAAAATGACGATTCTTCTTACAGAAAATACGCTGCCACAAAAATACAGACGAAACATTCTCTACAATATTTACAGATGATTTCGAACAAGTTTAGCACATGCGGAGGAAAGTATACAAAAAATAGTTACCACGCTGCATGCTGAAAAATGTGCGAAACAACAGCAGCCTAGTGATCTGTAATAATTGAGGATGGGCTGGGCAGCCGTACGAAAAACGTAAACTTTAATAGCAGCTCGACTAAATGTTCCAAAATACATTTTAAGCCTGTATATATAACATTTGCTATCGTTATGAGATTACTCGTTAGCTCATAAGTAATAAAATGACAGTCAAATTTCCTATAACTTAGATGAAAGCATTACAAAAAGTAGAAATATAAATGCGCCGCACCATATTTCCGACAGCAGAATCATCCTTACGACCCTGAATAATTCAGCGTCCCACGAGCTGTAGGTATACCTTCCAATTTGAAGCATACATAATTTGCTCAATCTAAGAAGTACATACATACAATGAAATTGTACTCTGCTGGAAAATACCATAAAAAAGCCACTACCATAAAGCAGAAAAAGTGTCTTGAAAAATCAGACGTAAGTGCTCTATAAGACTAGAACCAGCGGTATAGGCCACCTACACTTTCTATCGAAAATTATAAATAAGGGTATAAAAGGGTCAATGTCACCGTTGATGTGGCTCTACATAATGATCAGAGGACTATACATTCAAGAAAAACGACTCAAACTAATGAAATCTGTGAAAAGATGTCTTTTGTTGACTCAAGCTTGTCATCGCGTTCCCAAAATTCACGGCCACGGTGTATTTACAAATATATATTAGTATCAGTAGAAGTCTTCACGGAGAGAAAACTGCACATGTCTAAACTAACACACAACAAAATCTCAAAGATCTGCCTCGAAGATTTTACGTACTACAGTTGAGATAAGCATTGACAAACCACCGCAAAAATCCTTCACTGCACAGCACCAATCCCAAAAAGTGGCTTCACGTTTATTTGAAACAAACGTGCTCGTCAATTCCTCAATTTTTCTCGCTTTAAACCTAATCTCTCACCCATATAATTAAATGATGCTAAAGAGCGACACTTTGTGCTCAGAACGTTGGTCCAAAAGGGCAGGAGGAGGAGGAGGGCTTCCAGGAGTACTGAGCATGGGTTCCATGTCACTCGTCCTCTGGGGAGACTCGTACAGGGGATCGCCAGTAGCTAGGGAGACATGACGAGGGTTGCTCGAATTGCTTTTCCCTGAATAATTCAGCGTACCGCAGTGTGAGTTGTGAGAGCAGCAGCGCGAAGCACCAACGTTGGACCCGATCGAGTTGCAGTTAATGTTACTTAAGTTGCTGCAGTTGCCACGAGAGTTGCAGTGACTATGCGCTGCGTATACCAGTGGATGGCCGTTGCAAGAGAGACTGCATTGGCCACTGCCGCCACAGGGTGAGATGGCAATGCCATTGCATGTGATGGCAGGTGTGCTGCACATGAGAATGTGGCTGCTATTGTGACAAGACGCTAAGCCGTTGCTGCAGCATCGAGAGTTGCGAGTGGAGCAGGAAGATTGACGACCGCCCAATGATCTAAAAAGTCCCCCATGTGGACAACAATAGCATCGCTGTGACGGGCTGCTGTTATGCGACGCTACTGCAGAGCACGAAGAGCAGATCATGGTCGTTCCTCCTCGGCAGCCATGATCGTGTTGGAATTTTGGGTGGTGGTGGAAGTGCTTACCGGAGCAAAGGTGACGTGTGTTACTTGCCAATTTATCGTGAACCAATTCTGATGCCCCGCACCACCGTCCTCATTCGATACGCGACTTGTACGAGTTTTTCCAGATAGCAGCGAGGACCACGGTCGAGTGGAAACGATGAAAGATAGCCAGGGGAATGGTGCAGCGCAAAAGGATTGTCCAGGCCAACTTGCCGAAGAACTCAAGCTGTAAATTTAACAGGTGTTAATAAATTGTTGACTTGTGATAAAACGTATAAATAACTAAAAGATTAAATTATGTATAGAAATGCCAAATTGTTACGAAGAATTTTTTATTACAGTTGCCAGATCAAGATGTCAAATAGTCTTAGGGAATATATGACAGATATTACTAGAGATTGACATTACCACGGGGTTAGTGACACCAACTGTAACTGACGAGCTGGACCTCAATTTGAGCTGTGAAATGCTGGGATTATTATTACCTGTACTGGATTTGCTTCAACTTTCTGGGTCTCGAAGGTATAGACAATCCACATGGCAAGGTTGCAGATGAGGAGGAAGGTGATGATTTGTCGACCAGGCTTAGTGCGTTCGTGTTCAGGGAGTCGCACTTGGCGTCGCTGGGTGTCTTTGATGAACACCATCTGAATTATAACCTGGAACATAAAGCGATAATTATACGACAGCATTCACGATTTGAAGAGAGTTTGTTAGGACATTTGGCTCGTAAAATTAGATCACATCGCAACAACGCCTCCGAAATTAAAAAGAATTAATAATAATATTTAGTTTCATTAAAAATCAGCCTCGTACTTCAATGGTTTCAAATAAATATGTATCAGATTTAAAGAGATGATAATACAGAAAAAACTGCTAATATTAAATAAAATATATAACATTTTAAAATTGTTAAACCTAATCAATAGGTTATCTCTCTTCAAAGTTGATAGAACAAGTCTTGCCTGCAAGATCGAGAGGCTGGACGTGACTAGCACGAGAAGGTTAGGTTCTTCAGTGTAGGCAGAGAGACTGCCAGCGACGGCTGAGAAGATGGCGTAGGCGAAGAGACCAAAAGCAGAAACCATGAGCAGGATGTCGTCGAGTTCTTCTTCTCGCTCTCCGTGGAAGCGAAGCTGGCGAACTCTGGAATCGTTGCGAATTAATTTAGAAATAAAATAATAATGCTGCATGAACGCAAATATCTGAGTCTAAAGATAACGGGCAAATTCCCATGTAATGATGGTATTTAATCCCGAGTGAGGAAAGACGATAATAATTCGTTCTTTAATGAACACACTAAATAATACGTACAATGCACAAAAACTGCATCTATGATTGTTGGTCGCTACACGTTTCGCCTGTAAGCTAACACCAGATTGAACGAGAGCCCTGTCAAATGAAATAAATTTATGAAAATGGGCTGAAAATTGTTCATATGCAGGGTACATAACATACAGCAAATGTACACAATTTCGAGATGTGATAGAAAATATAGTAAAAAATTTCATAACGTTTTGCGATTCGGACGACAATTTGAAAAATTAAGATTAATCGTGCCAAAATTAAGGAATTAAATGAGTGGAACGTCGCACATCACAGCGTAGGTTCGACTAAAATAACTAACCTGCAGAATCCAATGAAGATAGCGACGATGCTGAGGACCATGATGCCGCAGTGCGACACGTCAGCGAGGTAGATGGCGAGGCGCCGCAGATCTTCCTGGTTGACGAGTACGAAGAAGAGGATAAGGCAGATGAGGGTGGACACGAGCACCAACAGGCCGCAGAAGAGACCCTTGCTCGCCCCGATGCAGTCAACCTTCACTTGGCAGCGCCGCGACGCGACCGAAATGCCGTCACCGAGCTCAGGGTCGAACACGTACCTGAGAACGCAGCATGGCATCAATATTGTGGCAAGAGAAGAATTACTTATATATAAAAAATGTAACTCAGTACTCACTGCAGTGAGTGGCAGAGAGCGCATTTTCTCGTAGACGAAAACGTGAAGTCACGAACAGACAGCCAGACGGACATGGCGAGCACAATAGCGCATTTTTTTCATAAACGAGAAAATGCGCTTAAATCAAGAAACAAATATGATTTGTAGAATAAGTTAAATACAAACATTTAGAGTCACTATCTCAGAAGCTATGCATTTATATTTCTAAGGTATATTTTGAAGCCTGGTTAAATTTTATATAGCATGAAAATGAGTTTATTAAAGCAGATATTTGAGCAGAAATAGTTCTGTAGCAAGTAGCTAAAAACAGTAGTAGAATAAGAGAAGTGCTTGTGAGCGCAGGTTATAGGAAAGCTGCTACGCAAGCACAGTATCATCATGTAACCTCCGATGATAATTCGATGATACGAGACATCATCGAATTGTCGATGATACTGGATATCAATTATCATTCATAATCAAGGTGATGGATATGTTATTAGTCAGTTAGTTCAATGACGAGTGAATAGTGTATTCGAGAATACTCACAAAGTTTAGCTCGGAATTAAAAAGATAAAGCAAATTATTCTTCCAGCACAAGCTACACAATAAATAATGCAAGCAAGAAATCGCAGCGAACTTTTTGGGAAGTCATTGTGCTATCAACATTTGAGTTGTTTGTTTCGAATTTGTGAAATGACAGCGATTACAATTTTTGAACGTAGATTGAACTATGTGTTGAAATTTCTGCTAAATAATTGATTGAAGTGAATACGACAGGTAATAGAACAAAAGGAATCGAATGCTGACGAATAGTTTTGCCAGCTAATTGCCGGCGATTCATTGAAATTCAACCAAAGAAATCATTAAATCAGACTGAGTGAATCTTGAAACTTGAATCTCCAATTTTACTGACGCGTTTTTGCTAACCAACTAGCGAAGACAGCTATCCCATCTAAAATATCACGGGAGATATTTCTAAATAGCTAAAATTTAGTTGTAAAGAGCTAGAACGTTGACGTCCAGACTATATTATATTTGGGAACACGGTGGCGGGCAACGCGCTACGTGAGCCAGTGCCTGATCTACGTAGGAAATATTACGACACAGATAAACATACTCATCTGGGACTGCAGAGTAGCGCATGTACCTGAAATACCAAACGACACCTACATCACTCGTCTGTTTTTGCCGAAAGACAGAGCAAAGTATTATGTATTCTATAAAGGAAACAAAAACTTTTCTTCCGTTCATCTCGGAATTATCATGGTAGCCATCATAACAAAGACGTGCGGATTTTAAGAGGTTCTAGGTTACAGGATAGCTTATAAATAAATTTGTAAAAATACATTTATTTCGAGCTGTGAATGCAAGATAAAGACCATAAACGTACATAAGACAGATATGATACGACATGGAAGCAGCCGTATCCAATGAAGCTTCTAAAAAACCTGTGAGGTTTTCTGAACGGTAACACAAAACAGTTTACTGGAATCAATCGTTTAAATTCTGAGGTGCCGAGCGTGAAACTATCGATTCAACATCCATGACAAGACTTTGATAACCAATTTCGTTCAATTATTAAAGGCAAAAAACAAAGAAACATATTACGATTACCACAAATTAGATTCTTAACCTCATTTCCTTTACTTTACAGTGTGATTAACACACTTCCTTACTCAAGTCGTTGAGATCATACTAAGATCGTTCATCATGCAAATCAATACAAGACGAAACAAAAAAAAACAGCATTTCGTTTTACACGAACAAATGAAAATTTAAATAATAAGATTGGATTATGAGAAAGAGAAGGTAATGATGAAATCATACGATCGACGTTTCTGAGATGGTTTAAATCCGATAAAATAGTTAATGATAGCTAATAAAAAGCATAACGAATCCAACAATGTTTAAGTTAACGAATATAAAAAATACACTGCACACTGACAGACATACCTAACACAACCATCAACGACATTAGAGATGAATATAAACTAAATTCATTTACTGCGTTTTCAACTGATGCTCTGGTCATGCGTTAAATTTCGACAAAAAAAAAATAAATGAATCAACCCTAGAAACGTTCGTTCAAGTTTTATCATTCAAAACAGTTTCCAGAGGCATGCATAAGCACGTAAAAAGACACCAAAAAAGTCTCCAAGGACCAATAACTAATCAATCAGCATTATTCACTGGAAGCTTCTCATTCTCACTAACCTGCGATGAGAAAATCGAACAGAAACATTATAAGTTAACTTACTTGGGGCTACGTCCAATGTGCTTCCACATGATGAAGAGGACACAGGCTGCGATGAGGGAGTATTCGATGATGAAGGGGTAGAGGTAAGGAGCGGAATCTGAGACAATGCTGCCCATGATCTCGACGCGCCCGCAGCTTCGGTTCATGATGTCTTCTTGGGTGAGACGTCGGCTCGCTGCACAACCAAGTAACCGTGTGAGCTTGCATGTCAATGATTGTAAGTAGATGACATCAATACTGTGATATAAGTCTTGGCAAAACTTCCTAGTGAATTGATAAAAATGTTAAAGTTCAAAATCGCACATAAATTCAAGTGTACTAATCTATAATTTTACCATATCGAGATGTCTATTAATACTCACCGCAGCACGATTCATCAGAACGAGTGATTTCATCAAAAGTAAGAACCAGCATATAACTGCCCGGAGTGCGGCTCAGGCTCAACAGCCGAGGTAATAGCTTTTAGAATTAAAATCATAAGACGGAAAAAGCATACAAAACAAAAAATTCGCAGTTGCGTGCAATTTGATATAAGATGAAAAACTCACTTCAGGGCATGGGAGACCAAATAAGCGTTAAAAATTTAAATAAAAAATCTATTGTACCGCAGGCATGGTACCTAAAATAGCGATATACAAGAATCCCCACTAGAAGCACAAGAAAAAATTATTCAAACCAAACCGAAATGAACCGTAAAGCCCATTTAAGATTTAGCAGAACAGTGCAGTGTCTTACCTTACGAAGCACAGATGAAACAGCGGAGTGCAATTTTATCCACAGAGAAATAGAAGAAAATCTTGAGTGTTTTATTCCAAACTGAAGATTTACAAACCACTATAATTGAATGAAGAATTAAGTGTACTTAAATTATCCCGAAATTAATATTTGTACGCTATGAAACGCAAACTTCCTTGAAATTACAACCTAAGAAAAATAAATGAAAACAATGCCATAGCATGCGAATGATGACCAAGAACAGCATACAGTGTCAGTGTTGCTAATAATATTCTAATGGTCATGCGAAAACAAGAAGCGTCCACACGACACTTCAAAACCTACCAGCAACCATTGTATCATTAATCTCCTGCATTTCGATGAACTCGTCAAGGTTGTAGAGGTATCGGTTGGGGGCGAGTAGCCCGTTCCTCTCGAGGGCGCGTCGGATGCCCTCTATGGAGGCAGACAGAAAGTGGCCAGCGGAACGCGGAACAAACCAAGACGACGCGGACGTCAGAAGTGGCGCAACAGGGAGTTAGAGTCGTTGAGAAGACGGGAGAAGGTAATGGAGACGTGAATGTAAGTGATGGAGGAATATATGGAAGTGATGGAAAAAATAAATAAGCGATGGAAAAATACATGGAAGCGATGGGAGAATATTTGGATATGATGGAAGAATACACGGAAGCGATGGAATAATATATGGAGCAATGTATCAAATCCAGAAAAAATGTAAGTTACGAAAAAAAATCACGAGAAGAAGTTGACAGTGAAATTGAAAAAGTCCGTTTTAGAATGAAAAGCAAGGGAACAGTCATTAATAGTGATGAAAGAATATTCCAATATATAAGGGATGAAAAAGCAGGCGAAGAGGCGTTTTGATGTCACAGGTAGAATAGAAGACGAAAACGTACGTCATAATAGAGTAGGCACAATATTTAAGTATAGAATAAAATCAGTTTTGATAAAATGCATACAGTGAAACATTTTCTCCTCTTTTTGTAAAACAAGTCATCCACATGATTAGTTGAGCTAGTTTATTATTCGATTAGATATGGAGACATTTTTGTCTATGGAAGAATACTTTTGGCGTTTAAAAAATTCGTGAACAGTTCAGGTCTTGCGACAATTTAGAATAAAACTTACACTGCACGGAAAAGAAACAAGGAACTACAAAATGTCCGGAAATCGTGCACACCTCAGGTACCCCCACAAATTTATACAAGATACGCACACGAATTTTTATACTGAAATGTTCAAACACAAGCTGTTTCACACAATTCTAAACATCTCACATGTTGTCCCATACGATCAAGCTACTAACAACACAGTTCAGTTGAGAATTGTGGACAGTTTGTTTAGAGTAGAGTACCATATACTAATTACATCCATCTGATGCATTTAAGAAAAAGTGATTGCTGCCCAAAAACAAAACATAGCTAGAACAGGTCACGCGAAGTTTGAAGATTTAAAGATACATGGCGTTTTGATACATAAGAAAAGCAGAATATCATCGCACCCGCAGCGATTAGGTTATAATTTCTCTAAGCTGCAGTCACTGGATGTGAACCATCGATACTATGCAGGTCAACGTACCCATAATCATGTAGTCTTCGCCGCTGCTACCTTGAGACACTTTAAACTCGTTGATCTCCTTGAGACTCTCGCGCACCAGCGTTCTGATCCAGACACACACGTTCGTCGCTACCATGTGCATCAGGCCAAAGCGAGCGATCACCTTGAACTTGTGGATGTTCAGCTGTAAAATAGGCGAAAATAATAGAAAAGCGGTAACCTAGACATAAGAGCATAGCTAGCACCTAGATAATTTTTAGTCAGAATGAAGGATAAAGGGGGAAAATTATACTAACAGAGGAATATGAACTTTTCCTAATGCATGTCTTGAATAAAGCTGTGATAACAAAATTTTTAATTGGCATCCAGAATACAATTTGACAACATAAAATTCTATTTGATAGTTAGCGTTTAGTTAGAGGTGCACTCAGAAAAATCAGCGTGTGTAGTATATCGATCCGGCTGTTATGGGTAATATCAATCGCTTGTTTCAGAGAAATAAATGTTTCTTACTCGAGCGTTCATGAAGATGAAGTACATTTGCATGAATGTGAAGACGAGTTGAGCGATAGGGTTGACGCCTCTCAAGATCATGTGGCAGGGAGAGCTCAGAGGGATTTCCAGGAACACGCCGAACTCCAGGCCATTGTATATCATCGTGCCAAGACCAAAAGCTGCAAGAACAAAGAAATATCGTTAGTTGCAAGGTAAAATAAGTCTTATCGGAAATAGAGGATTAGACAACTCGTAAGAGAGTGAGGAAACTATCCGTTCGACAGAAAAATACGGTTAATATTGTTGTGAGTTAAGCAATAGCTAAAGTTCAACACATTAAACAAAATTAGAATGAGAATTAAGGTAAAAATTTGTTCCAGCTACATGAAGCAGAAATTTTTTACTCATAACTCTACATAAATACATTACATAATATAAATTCTAGATGCAAAAGGCAACAAATCCTAAGGGAACAACTGAAATCTAGAAGCGATTTTAAATCTGCCGTCCGTTGAAAAGATTTGACCAAAAGGCCAGTCTAGTCAAGAAAAGTACAAGAATCGGCGACAGGCCTATCTAGGACTATTCTTCAATGCCGAAGATACTATACGGTACTATACTAATTGATCAATTGAATAATTATAGAAAATAAAATATCACAGAAGGAAACAATTTGCAGTATGGGGTGGTGAATGAAACTAATAGCACAATTTCGTATGCGTCTAGGTACTAACCAATAGCCCCGATGCGCAGGAAAAACGATCCGTGGCTGTGTTCGTTGTCGGAAATTTTATGTTTGCGCGGTTTTGGTGGCGTCGCGGGGCCGGTGAGCTTCTCAGTGGTAGGGGACGTTTCATCACCTGGAGCCTCCTCGCCTTTACGCTTCTGGGAGGACGATGCACCCTGACAACGGTAAACACTGGCGAACTTTGGCAAGCTATTCAAATCTCAACATTGCCTTTTATCTTTTTATCATTGATAAACTTAGTTATGAACAGCATGTTGAACGTATAGAGAAAATTTAATAAAAAGACAGTCAACGGATAAATGGATGGATGAACCAATTAACGATGAATCCAAACAATACGAATCTGGAAGAACGAATAGGTAGTAAGTAGTCTTGAACTTGAAACACTGTAAAAGTTAATAGAAGCGATATAATGAAAGTAAATAAGTTACGATGCATAAGATCGCAGGTTGCATAAGAATGGAATAAAATTAGAATAGACAAATGAGACAATCGAAGATAATGAAAAGGACGCGTTGTGAGTGTGGGAAAAAATGAGAACCAAACCAAGATTAGATCAATAAATGAGAACCTTGTCACAAATACCATAAATTGGCATTGTAAAAAAAATCGAAAAATTTACGAGAATTACCCAAGATGAAGTGGTTTCCTGGTTCTGTAAAGTGATTAGACATTTTCAGAAAATTGACATTTTCTCTTGGCAGCACAAGATTAAATCTAAATTTTAGTGGCAGCATTTTGTTAAAGTAACACTTACACTTGTTGAAGGCTTGCAGGTTAGTTTCCATGAATACATTCAAATTGAATACATTTAAAATGAGAGTCAACAACACCTCACTTGAACTTGTTTATAAATACGGATCTATAATCAAAGCAGAACTCACGTATTAATGTAAGTAAACGCCAATGGAGCTCACATCGCTGAGTACGGACCGGAAGGAGCCAAAATACAATGTTTTCCAAATCGCAAAGCTATACACGATACTCATCTTACTGTGTTAATTTTACTTATGTAGCGGCCGCGCAATCACCCAGGAAAACTCTGTTCAAAATAGTTGTGAAAATGACAACTTGGAAAATATCCCTAAGCGAATCGACAAGCAGAAAGCAAAAAACAAACATGAACCAGCACTCGAAACTAATCACCGAAAAATGCCACCATTAATTAAACACGGAGTAGCAGTTGAGCGAAATGGTTAATGGAAGCAAAGCGTTAAAGTAGTCTTGACACTGGCAGGTTTATTTATTGCTGAATTTAACATCGCGGCCATGTTAAACAGAAGCAGCCCTTTATTAACACGGTGGGCAACTAATGAAGACTCACCTCCTCGTTTGAATAATACTCATCATAGTCGGGCACATTGTATTGGCCGGAGTGAGGGCCCTGCCGTGAATACAACTTTATTGTCATGTGCATTCGGACCAAATGAAAATATTCTGATTATTAGCCCAAGTGGAAACTAAAACCCTTGAACTAAAAACCAATTTAGATGCTGAAGCAGGCCAGATTTCAAGCGGTGAGATTCGATATAAATGATTAATACAATTTACTATTACTCATGGATACTGCTATCTGCAATTATTTTCACTGATATCAGATTCCAGTTCAAAACCTTCAGCGATGTTTGACGAAAAACGAATTTTTTTAGTGGTTCTACTCTTTACGGATGATTTGAACTTATTATTTACTGGGGGCAGCAAGGAAAACTCTGAGAACCTCCTAACACTGTTAAAGCAGTTAAGGATGAATAACAGGCACCAAAACGAAGGTGAAGAAAGCGAGTTATAATTGTCTACCAGCCAGAACTAAATTAAAATCTAAAACCACACAGAACATACCACGAAACATTGAAGTGAAAATATTGTTTATAAAATCGAATACAGATAGGCATGCAAATATTGCAAACTAATGCTCAAATAAATTAGTCATGGTACAATATGTTTTATTTGTACACTGCAGGAGTACAAAATCGACGAAGACAACAACAATAAGGTTCATGGGCCGGAGTGTGAACAGATTAACTAGTCACCTCATTGCAATCGCGTAATGCTTCACTGGCAGTCGTGAGAATGATATGAATGACTCATAATATGATAATTAAACTGAAACAAAATTAAACAGAACTTAACAAAATTGATCCAATAATTAATTCTACCAGTAACACCACCTGAGAATTTTTAGGTTTTGGAGGTCCTCCAGAGCCGGTGAGAAGGTAGCAGAACACGTACAACAGGAACAGAATGCTGCCTCCATACAGGTACGTGAAAAACGCCTGCAATCGGTTGAATTGCATGATTAATATAGCAAGGCATTGCTGCCCAAATTATGTAGTTGATATTATGTGTTCGAATGATGTGTAACAAGCACTCAAGTTGCTGCTAATTATTAAAAATCTACCAAACCTGCCTATTTCCAGGATCAAAAGTTAAGGTTATACCTAATCCGAGTTCTGTCCTATAAGGGTATAACCCACGGAATTTGAAGAATATTCCATTAAAAACCCTAAAAAAATTATTCAAGTATGAAATAAGTGATTTTAATAACTTATTTCCGATCAGGGAAGAGTAAATCAAACTTGCTCTATACCATTCTGCCAACGGCGTAGTTACGAACATTAGGCAAGTCTTTCGCGTTGACCACCTGACCAACAGGCGTACAGTTACGTTACGTAGGTTGCCGCGCAAATATTTTGATAATACCACCTCTAGAGTTACGTCTTCATAGCAACACTTACGCCACACATAAGTCGATTTTGCGTACTTACCAAGTTTTGATAATACAGCCCCAGTGCAGTAGAACAAAATAGCGCACTGTTCACAGCAACGAAGTTAAGTGCGGAATCTGTAAGGCAACTCACCTCGTAGTAGTAAAGAGGAACATTGTGAGTGAGAACTTCAGAGAGCAAGAAGCCCAGGCACACGACGATCAGCAGAGTCGCGTACAGCATCGACAACGTGATGAACGACGACGTCCTGATGAAAACCGGGCATTTAGTTACATTGAATATTTCTTAGTGAAATAGTGGGCAAAAACTTTGCAAATAGCGACATGAAACCGATGACACGAATGTTGTCTTTGATTTGAAACGCTTCACTTGTGTAACGTTACTCCAGAAAAAAAATCCTTACGTCCGATCGGAAACAACGTAGATATTTCAAAACTTCAGAAGATTAAAACATTGTGTAATGAGGATTTGCTTTGTTGAGCGAAACGTAGATTCTTGCCGCAATCTGCATTAAAACGATCGAGTGCGCACGTTTGAACTGCTTCGCACCGCAGTGCACACCGAGAAGTAGGGGGCTCAAGTTATCAGATTAATGACTGTTTGTTTCATTAATCACGACTTTGAAAGCCTTCATTAACGATGATTCAAGTGGCATCAAACGAGCCGCTGTATTCGGTAACAAGCCATAACGCGTGAGCTACAACAAGCTATCAATACAAAGCATTATATGCACGAATACAGTGCAAAGCAACGTGTTCAATTTGATCAATTTATTAATACAAAGATAGTCTTGGTATAGAAAAAAAAACAGATTTTTGAAGTTAGAGTTTACTTTCTGGTTTATATTATAAAGAGCAACAGAGTAATACGAAAAATCACGCACGAGGCAACGAAAAAAGGCTCTCTAAGCCTATGCCAGGATAAAGGCTGCCAAACGTGCGAAGTGAGTGGCCTTTCCGAGAGAAGAGTAAGAAGTGGGGAAGCTGAGAGCGCCGCTACCAATCAATATACACACACAAGGCGAGCTGTAGTCAAGGAAACGCTCGCGCCACAAGCTCGACGCTGTAAAGGCGCGACCAATTGCAACACCAGCTCAGGCTGTTGCTATGCTCCAGTGACGTGCCCCATATCGCACCAAACAAACTTCATACTGACAAGGCAAAGTTTACCACATTCTAGACTAAATATTCTCACTAGGTGAGCTGTGAGATCACATTGAGGTAAAAAATAAGGATATCAATGAACGAGACTAGATACAACGCAAGGGTTTTTGTAAAGTAATAACACAATAAATTGCGTGTAGCACGAATTAAGTCAATCGTAAATCTTCAAAGAAAACTAGAGCTAATTTTTCCTTGGATATGAAAAAATTCTTACATTATTACTCAAATCCGAATTGATAAAAAAGTAAGTTTAAAATTTTCTACACGCATTACAATAGAGAAGTCACACATAACAGTACACTGGTGATTATTTTTCAGTTAAATGAACGAAATACTGTATATGCTCAGTGCAATAATACGATGAATATAGAAGCTGCGAGGACACTCCTTTCAGACTTACTTAGGAGTCGTAGGATAAGGCGGAATTGGCGCAATGCATCCGCACTGTGGATCATACGGGACAGTTGGGCCATCGCAGGTTTGTATCCGCCCACTTAGACCACTTACGCTTCTTTCGAGGCGATCTTCGAGGGCCTCTTTTTCTTTGAGGGCTTCGGCCCGGGCATCAACTTTGTCGGAGACACAACTCACGTGAGAGCCCGACTGCCGGTACTGCTGCTGCTGTTGTTCCATGGTGAGAGCTTGTCCAGATACAGGGTCTAGAGTTAGAGTGGCGGATGAGTGGATTGTTCCCGCGGGTGGAGATTGATCCTGAGACTGAGAGGTCGTAATAGGTCCTTGGAATTGTGGAGAAAAATGCTGCTGTTGATAATAACTGCTCTTTTGTTGCTGTTGCATCGATCCTTCAACAGTTGCTACACCCACTGTTTGCTCGGCCATGTTCCGGCTGAGCCACACCAACAAAAGGCTTTACGCAGCCTCGACCCTAGCGTAATACTAGCAATAGAGAATTTATTTTCGTTGTTCTGATTGATAGACTTTTATGTTTACATAAATTACTTCAACTAATATTGCATTGAGCACGCATCGTCACAGTTTGGGCAGCATAAAGGATAATTTTCAAATTGATAAGGAGCACCGTTAATACGGCTCCACACCAAGGCGAATGGTGTGGGCCACCGCAAGGCTATCTTCTGAGAAGCGTCCGGACACTGTGTGGTCCGAAATTCCTCCAATATCACTACTATCACAGAATCATTTCCATTGATAAACAAAATGCTTTACATTCTCATGGAATGTTTCGAAAATTGGTTCATACTGGAATGCTGGAATATAATGTGTATTGATTAATCATTGGTTAAAGGAACAAACTAACTCTCAAATTTCTCGAAATTATGTAATTAAAAATAAAATAAGCAGACAACATGCTGATTATTCACATCGGATGCACCATAAAATAAATATCATCCGAAACTCAGAAACACTCAAAAAGCGAAAAGAAATTTCGCACGTCTCTTATTTTGAAAACTCAGCAATTTGAGCTTAGGATAAGCAGCAATGCAGGGCCCAAATTGACCGCGTGGACCATAGCACGGAGAGAAGGCAAGGTCAAGCCGTGTTATTTCGGGACAAAGCGATTTAATGAGTTAAAATTTTTGTAAAGAAATTAAATAGCTTGTCTTAGTACCAATAAAATTCATGTACATAAGAAAAGACAATGTATAAGTCAGATGGAGTTATCAGAGTTAAATTTTATATATTGGGGAGAAAAAAATCGATAAAACTTCAAGCGATCCAATTGAAATTATTTATTTCTGAGAAATAGAACTTCGAGTTATCCTTCATGCAGTTCCTTTGAAATTAGAAAAAATTCGAAACTGCAAGCAAATAATTGCTACCTTCGAAGGAGCGAGTAAATAATTATTCACTACAGTAGTTATAGCGCAGGAAGTTAACCAAGGAAGCAAATTATTAAAGATGATCGCAAAGCAGCAGTCTTAGCCGAAAATAATAAGAAGCAAAAACTGAGAATAACAGAGACAAAAAGTCTGCTGGCTTAATTCATTGAACGACATCAAATGGCAAACCTAAAAATAACAACAAAGAATAAAATTCAACGTGTTTATTATAAAAAGCTATGCACAATAGCAAGAGCCATCGGACTGTAAAATATGAGTCTCCTTAGGCATGATACGACGTCACAGGCTTGAGCAGACGACGAGGGTCAATCGTCCATGAGTGGACCTTTTTTCCGTATCCTGCAAAGGTCTCATTTTCCTCCGTTCGTCGGGCAAAAAAAACGAGAGCCTAATTAGAGTAATGGACGTAAGGATTCCAGGCCCACAAACGAGAGCTTGGCTACTAACGCAGATAAACTGTGGCCTGTCCCACAGGCCGACACGAAGCTTCCGGCTCAAGGGTAAAAATAGAGTCGAGCTTCTGCTGCTCGCTTGTGTTCCCGGGCCAAAGCGGCTGCTTGTGCGGGAACTGATGCAGCTAAATGGTGCCACACACACCAACATGATCCCTCTTTTGCGGCCCTTTTGTTTACTTAGTCAGAGCGGCAACAATAACGAACAAGACAGTGAATATTGCAGACATGAATTTGATGGGTTTCTAATGTAAAGTAATTAGAATTAAAAAGTGAAATATCTCGGTATCAAAACATCACATTTATCTTTTGTCCCTGCCGAAGAACTAGAACAATGATCCTGGCAAATTCTCGTTGTCTGGAATGCACACTCCGAATAAGGAAACCTATTGAAAATGATTTTCAAACAACAATGAACAAAAAACTATAATACTCGATGGTGCACTTTGATTGAGATACGGTGATGCATTTTTATTGAGTAATCAAACGAGGAATACGTTTCTAAACATATTAAGCCTCCGTCTGCACGCATTTTAAATCGAAATATACATAGGAGCGACTGTTCAGACATGGTTGAAACTGATTCGCCCCAGACCCGAATAAAGTCACTACCTGAGCACGGAACATGCCGTGAAACTGAGTGGCTACCATTTATGATGCCAGCAAGCATGCGTACGCATAGATATTGGTTGACATTTGAAGCTAAGATCGAATCATAATGAGCACCCAGCACAAGAGGCGTTCTGTTGCAGCGCTATCGTGGTCGGCTGATGCGTGGTCAAGCTCCAAGCAGCTGAAGACCTCGACTAGGGTACAGGAACAAGCCTCAACCAAGTCAAATATAAACTAAAATAATACGAAAAACTCTTAAGTCCAACTGCAAGATATTTATCTAGAATAAATTGGTGAACTCATACTGTACATTTGCATTAAAAATCGCTTACATTTACATTTTTCATGGAAGGTAATTATAAATAATGGCCCTTAAAAGGAAAACCGCCTTTTGTTCGAGGAAGGTAAAATAAGGCGAAAATAATAAAGTGTAGGCAAAACTGCAGAAAAGAGCATCCAGTAAATAATTTTGAATAAATAATGAAAGTTTAGCAACTGTGGTGGCGATGCCAGCATAAGTTGAGCGCGCATTTCACTGGCGGTGACGGAAGTCCCGGCAGCTCGCGAGCATCTGTATACATCCCAGATAAAAACAGCGACTTGTAGTCACGAGGGAACGACGGGCCAGACGTGCTACATACGCACTGGTAGTCAGGGACGGTACACATACAAAGTAATCTGAGAGAAACTTCGTACTTAAACGTGGAAATATAACAAAAAATAGTTTACCACGATAAAAATAACTGTTTTCTACATGTAAACATTTCTCTGCATCTCTGATCTCTAAATGATTTAGAACAGCTAATCAGGCTATAGACAGTCAGATAAGTTGACTAAAAAATTAACGCCGATCATGCTGAACGCGTTGGAAATATTTGAAAATGTTCTTTTCACGTTTCGGCGCAGGAGCATCCACGCCAGAGTCGCACGAAGATGCCATTCATCAGACTTTCAGTGCTGCGCGCCTGAAGCGCGGCAGTTTTCTCCGATTCATTGCTGCGTGCTGAAGAGCACATCTCACAAACACCTCTTTATCATACACAGCCACAACTGGGAAGCGTCTTCCCTTGCTTCCTTCTCAAGCTGTTGTCGCCACCAATTTTGTTCCATCTTCCTGATGTCACGCAATTCTGATTAATTGCTCAGACGAGATAAAAATATATCTAGTGAGAGGTCACTTGATATATTTTCTGCATATAT